GTGGCCGTTTATAAATGCCTGCCCACCCCCTACTTGTGCGCGCTCCCTGAAAGAGTGCAACACCGCGATCCGGAGCCCGCTGTGTCCTCCGGACACAGTGGAACACCGATCGTTGGACCGGACCTCTGTGCAAGGTCCCAATCATGTGATCACTGATTGGCCAATCAGTGATCACATGCAGAGTAGTAAGCAAGATATCACTTGTGACATCATTGCTTACTACGTGTGAAATCTGTGAATGATCACAGAGGTCACATGGTACAGGGCTATTCACAGCAGCCTTGTACCATGTGACAAGCTGTGACCAATCACAGCTCTCACAGTATTTCTCAATGGCTGCAAGAATGCAGCCAGAGAGAAAGAGAAATGATTGCTTGTACAGCCTTTAAGGGTGTCAGTGTAAAAAAAAAAAAAAAATCTTCATCACCCACCACAAGTAGTACAGTGTCACCATGGTGACACTGTACTGCTAGGGTGACAGTATGTTAAAAAAAAAAAAAATAATAATATAAAAAAAAAATTGTAAACAAAAAGTTTAAAAAAATATAATTTTTGGTTATAAACTAATTTGGGTTTTTTTTTTTTTTTACTAAAAAGATATCGGAATAAATTTTGAAGATTTATAATGAAATATAATTTTTTTGCAAAATGTTATAGGAAAAACTTTTTTTCAAAATTTTTGGACTTTTCCATTTACATAGCAAAAAAAAAAAAAAAAAAAAAATCCCAGTGGTGAATAAATACCACCAAAATAAAGCTTTATCTGTCTCAAAAAAGTGCTAAAAAATTCATATGGGTACAGTGTTGCATGACCGCGCAATTGTCATTCAAAGTGTGATAACGCTGAAAGCTGAAAATTGGCCTGGACAGGAAGGGGGTAGAAGTCTCCGTTCTGGAAGTGGTTAAGCGAAATATGGTCAGAATGGTGATTTTTTTAAAAATATATTTTTTATAATTTAGACCCCCCCCCCCCCCCCCCCCCCCATGTGTCCAGTGCTTGATCCTTGCAGGGCTGGGGCTCTGGCTTTGATTCCCTCTAAGAACACTGTCTGCACTGAGCCTGTAAATTCTCTGCATAACTGGCAACTTACTAAACTGGCACCAGCCTACAAATTCATTAACAAAGCTCAGGTCATTATAACATGAACGGTGGAGGGGGGGGGAAAGGTCTGGCAATCCAATTCTGCGTCCTGCCAAGGAAACCCAGTAGAGAAAAGCAACGAGGCAACTATACAAAAGGTTGACATCAGCTCCATGGCAACAGACAGACAGCGGTTATTATTTAGTCATCAGAAACCGTTACGATAGACCTTGATCGGAAAATGGAATATTCCATCTGGCTATGATAAATGTGCAACTTTACATATTACCCCAGATTCACACCTAAGCGTTTTCTGCAGCGTTTTGCAGAGACGCAGTACAGTCCATTTACCATGATTTCCTATGGGACAGGTTCACATCTCTGCGTTTTCACCCGGTGCGTTTTTGGAAAGGGTCAGGGACTTTTTTTTAATGCAAAACGTTGCATTTTTGGCTCTATAGACTGCAATGGGAACACTGCAGAAAGGTATGTAGTGCGTTTTTGCTGCGTTTTGAATCTGCCTAGCAACAAGAAAAAAAATGAAGAAAAAAAAAAAAGCAAAATGCATCAAAAATATGGCAAAAATGCAACACAAAACACAATGCAGAAACGCCTCGAATGCAACCTTCATAGGTGTGAACATCTCCGCGTTTTCACCCAGTGCGTTTTTTGGAAAGGGTCAGGGACTTTTGCTTACTGCAAAACATTGCGTTTTTGGCTCTACAGACTGCAATGGGAATGCTGCAGAAAAGCATGTAGTGCAATTTTGCTGCATTTTTTATCTGCCCAGCAACAAGAAAAATTTTTAAAAATGAAAAAAAAAAAAAAAAAAAAGCGCAAAATGTATCAAAATTTGGCAAAAATGCAGCTCGAAAGGCAATGTAGATACGCCTCGAATGCAACCTTCATAGGTGTGAACATCTCTGTGTTTTCACCCAGTGAGTTTCTTGGAAAGGGTCGGGGACTTTTTTTAATGCAAAACGTTGCATTTTTTGGCTCTATAGACTGCAATGGGAATGCTGCAGAAAAGCATTTTTGCTGCATTTTTAATCTGCCTAGCAAAAAAAAATTTTAACAAAAAGAAAAAAAAAAGAAAGCAAAATGTATCAAATATGTGGCAAAAACGCAACGCAAAAGGCAATGCAGAAACAGCTCGAACTCAACCTGCATAGGTGTGAACCTAGACTTGAAGAGTAATGCAGGCCATAGACAGGTCTAAAATCGGCCAATTTTTCAGCCTAAAAAAAAAAAAAAAACGGCCGATTTTCGCACCGTTAGTGGGTTAGTTGATCGGCCGTTTTTCGGGGTTTGGCACATTTTTTTTTTTAATGGTAAAGTTGGAAAATTTGCGGCCGATTTTGATGATCGGCCGACAATGATGGGCAAATCGGCCAGTCGTTTTATCGATAAAAAATCTGCGCATGAGCCGTGACCTGCAAGAAGAAGAAAAAGAAGAAGAAGAAAAGAAGAAGGAGAAAAAAAAGAAGAATTCCAGTCCGCTATTATATTTGACATGAAAAAGTATTGTGGTTGCAACAATGTATCTATTTGTATCCGAATAAAAACATCTGTATCTGAAATGGATACAATGTTGCAATCACAATGCTTTTTCATGTAAAATATAATAGCGGAGCTGTCTGCAAGGGACAGAAGTAATTATGGGTTTAAATGTCGGCCGTAGACGGGACGAAAATCAGGCGATTTTTTACCATTGGTGGTAACGTCAGCCGATTGAACGACCGATTTATTTTTTTTTATTTATAAAAAAAGGCCAGTTTTCGACCCGTCTATGGCCTGCATAAGTTCACTTGTAAAAACATTACCATAGATTGCTGTGCTCCAATCCCCAAACACTGCTGACGACGCCATCGTCCTCCCCAATCCATCCTGCAGGTGGCAGGACGCAACCAGCGTCAGAAGTGTGGTCCCAGGGCTCCATAATTGAGGCCCCCCCGCCCCGACCTCCATTCTCAACTATGCATGTGCAATCCATTTGCTTTCGCAGCTCAGCATTTTTGCAAGTAAAGGAGCCAGGTCTGCGCATGCATGGGTGGGGACAGAGGCCATTCATGAATGTCCAGGTGTGTCTTTCCCATCTGCTAGATGGATTAGGGAGGACAATGGTGTCACCACCTGAAGAGACAGGGTGCACAAGGACCTTTTTGAGAAAGGTGAGCTTATACTTTAGTCCTCATGCACACGGGATGTTTTTACAGCGGCTGTTTTTGGCTTTTGACATTTTTCCTACAGCCAATAAACCCCCCAGCATGTTATCCTATGTGTCCATGCACACACAGACTGGAATCAACATTTTTTGGCTAAAAAAAAAAAACAACCCAGGACTAGTTTCTTTTTAGCTGTAAAAACCTCAAACGCTGAAAAATGCAGCAAAATGCGGTAAATTGCAACAAAACCAGCATTTTGGACTTTTTGTTGACTAAAAAAATATATTTTTTTTTGGCTAAAAATAAAACCCTCTAGAAATAATGCAAATGCGAAAAAACGCAGCAAAATACAGCTAAATGCGAATTAAAAAATTCTGAAAAAACTTTATACAGCTAACGTTACCAGCGTTATTGAAACGCCCCGTGTGCATGGAGACTTAAAGATTTATACACCCGCTGTTTGTTTGTTTTTTTCAGCTGTACTAATGTTGTCTGGGTAAGCTGCAATGGCAGTGTAAGATTCCTCTTGTTCAGCCCTACAGGATTTTCTCTAATATGTAAAGTTCGTATATTGTCAGCGCTACCTAGTGGTCGGAGTGCATTTTTTTCCAGATTCATCTCAATCAGGAAACAAAAATATATTGTGGTCACTAGATGGCGCTGATGATATAGGAACTGCACATAATAGGGGAAGTACAGTGATTTTCATCCTGCCTGTGTGGATGTTTGTCACATTCGCCCAACAAATATTTTATACAAAGACCCCCTTAAAGTTAAACTTCTGAACGTTTTATACAAAGACCCCTTAAAGTTCTGAACGTTTTGGGTAGGAAGGATCAGCCGATCACATGACCACTATGATTGGCTGTCGCAGTGGTCACATGATCGAGAGCCAGTCTCACAGGCTACTGATCATTGCAAAGAAACATCAGCCACCCAAGGGTGCATGTAGGGGGTAAAGCGCCTTAAAGGGCCTTAGGCAGTCATAAAGTGGTTAAAGGGTTGAGGAAGGAGCTGATACACAGAAATGATTAACTGCATTAAAGTGGTAAATCCTTCCATATACCCAGTGACGTGACTGGCCTCAGGTGAAACACAGATTAATCTTACATAATAAGTTGTACCTGGTTATTCGCAGTATTCTCTTCTCTACATCCATTCAAAATTCTACATTTATAAAGCTTGTCTGAGAGTTCAGAAAAAGGGGGCAGGGAGCTGAAATTACACACTGTACAGCTCAGTGAGGGGCACTTTGAGAATTGATTGGAGGGAAGAGACAAACACCCCTCCATACAGTCCACAGAGCCAAGACTGCCAATCACAGGCTGCGCGCCGGAGCTTCTTCTCCTGCCACCGTTCTTCTCTTGGTGTCAGGAAAACTTGTCAGAAGTGATTGATGCTGATAACAGAGGAACGAAGCAGCTGACAGAAATGACACTTGCTCTGGATTGAGACAAGAACACACTATAGAGGGATTTGCTTTGTTCATATTTCATGTCTGAGGTTTACATCCACTTTAAAGTAAAAAAAGATCAGGGGGGACTAGGGGGAGAGAGAGGGCAGGATGGGAAATGGGGGGGGGGGGGGGGGGGGGTTAAAAAAAAAGTGTGGGTGAGAGAGATTGAAAATCAAAAAAGATGCAGATAGAAGTGGAAGAGGAGTAGAGGAGAGAAAGATAAAGGTGGGGGGGAGGAAAAAAAGGAAAAGAAAGGTGGAGGGTGATGTGTGTGGGGAAGGGGGGAGGGGGTCCTCACCTCTTAATTCCAGTTCTACAATGCCGCTCTCGTCTTCCAGCCCGTCAATAATCTCGCACTTGTACTTCCCATAATCCTCCAGACGCAGATCAGTAATGACAAGAGAAACTCCTTGGGGGGCGCTGTGGAGCAGGTGGACCCGACCTTTGTATTCTCCAAAGCTCCGGTGCCTCAGTCCAATTGCCACCAGAACATCTCTCTCCTTGGTGTTGTCTTTGTGCAGCTTGGACCACTTTACACGAAATTTTCTTGGGGGGTGTAATTTTGGTTCATAGTGAAAGGAGCATGGAAGAGTGATGTTACCTCCGCGATAGCCAAAGAGGGCCTCTTCTGGGGTACTGACCACAAGCTTCACACCATTGAAGTGAACCCCTAAATGGAAATACATTTCTGCATAATTCATATATATATATAGAGATGGAAAAAATCACAGCAATAGTACGGTAATACATTCTTATTTTTTTAAAGCATCTCAGTAGAGTGTTAAATGTACAAAAGGGGGCAGCACAGTGACTTAAGCTGGCCCCACACTAGAACAGGAATTCCTCCCCCTGACACCAATGTTGGAGCACTATTCCTCCTACTGACACCAATAATGGGGCACTATTCCTCCCACTGATACCAATGATGGGGCACTATTCATCCTACTGACACCAATGATGGGGCACTATTCCTACCCCCTAACACTAATAATGGGGCACTATTCCTCCCACTGATACCAATGATGGGACACTATTCCTCCTACTGACACCAATGATGGGGCACTATTCCTCCCACTGATACCAATGATGGGGCACTATTCCTCCTACTGACACTAATAATGGGGCACTATTCCTCCCACTGATACCAATGATGGGACACTATTCCTCCTACTGACACTAATGATGGAGCACTATTTCTCCTACTGAAACCAATGATGGGGCCCTATTCCTCCCCCTGACATCAATGACGGGGCCCTATTCCTCCCCCTGACATCAATGACGGGGCCCTATTCCTCCCCCTGACACCAGTGATGGGGCACTATTCCTCCCCCTGACACCAATGTTGGAGCACTATTCCTCCTACGGACACTAATGATGGAGCACTATTCCTCCCCTTGACACCAATGATGGGGCACTATTCCTCCCCCTGACACCAATGATGGGGCACTATTCCTCCTCCTACTGACACTAATGATGGAGCACTATTTCTCCTACTGACACCAATGATGGGGCACTATTCCTCCCCCTGACACCAATGATAGGGCACTATTTCCCCCACTGACACCAACAATGGGGCACTATTTCCGCCACTGACACCAATAATGGGGCACTATTTTCTCCACTGACACCAATGATGGGGCATTGTTTCCTCCACTGACACCAATGATGGGGCACTATTTCACCCACTGACACCAATATTTTGGCACTATTTCCCCCACTGACACCAATGATGGGGCACTATTTCATCCACTGACACCAATGATGGGACTCTATTCCTCCCACTGACACCAAGGATGGGGCATTATTCCTCCCACTGGTACCAATGATGGGGTGCCATTCCTCCTACTGACACCAATGACGGGGTGCCATTCCTCCTACTGACACCAATGACGGGGTACTATTTCCCCCACTGATACCAATGATGGGGCACTATTTCCCCAGCTAGTATCAATGATGGGGCACTATTCCTCCCCAATGATGGAGCACTATTCCTCCCACTGACACCAATGATGGGGCACTATTCCTCCCACTGACACCAATGATGGAGCACTATTCCTCCCACTGACACCAATGATAGGGCACTATTCCTCCCACTGACACCAATGATAGGGCACTATTCCTCCCACTGATACCAATGATGGGACGCTATTTTTCCAACGGATATCAATGATAGGGCACTATTCCTTCCACACCCAATTATGTATTATTTTCAAGTCCAATGACCACCAAGCCTATGGCATTGTTTACTCCTACTGATGTCAGGGCATTTTCTACTCCAAATGGCCACAATCCAGCCCCCCTAAAGTCTAAAGGGCAGTAAATCATCCCTTTGCTACAAAAGTTTGGAGACCCCTGCACTAGAACAAAGAACTAGAAGTTAAGCACGTACAAGTTTGTACACAGGTATCGGGGGGACACATGGATGAAAGCACTGATTGTGACACCCGGGTTACATATCAGAGCGGATGCGGGAGTGAGAGTAATATTTCTAGCACCAGACCTCCTCCATAACACCAAACTGATGACCTATGGGGGGCATTTAACATGTCGCCTTTAGAAAATATAGGATACTGAATTTTGTCGCCATTTCACGGGTGCACCCAAAATGTAAGGTATGTATTTATGGGGTGCAACTTCATTTTTAATATTTTACCAAAACATTTTGTAATGTATTGTGTTAGTGTGACCTAAAAATAATGTTAGTGGGTTTTTTAACTGAAATTTTGCGTTTCCTAGACCTTTGCAGTAATATTCTCTGAGAAGTCTTCTTTAAGGATACATATATTTTGGGGGGTTTTATGCAATCTTAAGGCTTAAAGTGATTTTTTTAGACAAAATTTCAAAAATTGGGTCTGGCAACGAAAGGAGTAAAGTGTTGCATAAAATGTCAGTGCTATATAAACAGGTGTGTGTGAGAGATATATATATATATCTCCTAGATTGTAAGCTCGAAAGAGCAGGGTCCTCGAACCCCTCCTGTATTGTTTTGTTACTGTCTTGTCTCATGTTCTGTCCCCCGCTGAGCAAACCTTTTGGCGCTATATAAATACTGTATAATAATAATATATATTAGAAAAGGGTGTGTCACACTGTTACTTATCACGTGTAATCTTTAACCACTCGCCTACCGGGCACGCTCATATTTTGAATGACAATTGCGCGGTAATGAAACACTGTACCCAAACAAAATTTGTAGAATTTGTTTGAGACAAAAGAGCTTTCTTTTGGTTGTATTTGATCACCACGTGGGGTTTTTATTTTTTGCTAAACAAACTAAAAAATACCAAAAATTAAAAAAAAAAAAAAAGTAATTTATTTATTTCAGGTACTTATATAGTGCTGTCAATTTATGCGGCGCTTTACATATATATTATGCATTCACATCAGTCCCTAACCCTCAAGGGGTGTACAATCTAAGGTCCCTAAATCACATTCATACATACACATACTAGGGACAATTTAGACAGGAGCCAATTAACCTACCAGCATGTCTTTGGAGTGTGGGAGGAAACCAGAATACTCACGCAGGCACAGGGAGAACATGCAAACTCCAGACAGGTGGTGCCGTGGCTGGGATTTGAACCAACAACCCTAGTACTGCCAGGCAGAAGTGCCAACCATTTGGCCACTGTGCTGCCCGTTTTTCTTAGTTTCTGTTATTTACCCCCATACATGATATCTGCTCTATTGGTTCCGGTGATGTGGAGCTCCCAGCGACCAGGACACACCGAGGAAAGGAGGATTTGGAGTATTGCTTATTTGACCTATGTACTGTGGGTTAATCGGTGGAGGTGACCGTGCATGCCTGATGGTGGTGGATATTACATGTGCATATTAAAGCAGAAGATTCACAGAATTACACTTTTGCTATTTCCTTCTTTATGGACTGTCACTTTGCATTTATTTCACAATATTTATATGATTTATTGTGCATCCTTTGTTTATTGTGCATATTTATTGGTTTATCACGGTGTATACCCTGTAACAGGGGGTTGTTTGGGCTTTATTTCCACCAGTTGGTATATTGTGTGTTGTTACACTTACATTTTTTTTCCTTTTTTGAGGACTCAACATTTAATACGTATCAAGCTCAGTATATACCGTATATTATTTATCACGTATTTCATTGAATATATTTAATTGTATAATAATTTTTTATTTTTATATATTTTCATGTAGGGATTGTTCTTATTTGTTTTAGCGCGCAGCACTATCTTTCTTCTAGAAATTTATTTAGTGGTGGAACACATTTTTGGGTGTTTGCTGCTTTTTGTTTTAGATGTTTGGTCGCTTATGTGGCAGCGCATAAGATCTTATTATTAGAAAGGATTAAAGTGTTGCATAGATCGTCAGTGCTATATAAATACCTGTGTGTGTATATATACATACACACACACACACACACACACACACATATATATATATACACACACACACACATTTTATATATATATATATATATATATATATATATATATATATATATATATATATATATATATATATACACACACACATATATATATGTGTGTGTGTATGTATATATGTGTGCGTGTGTATATAGTATGTACAGTTGCAAGAAAAAGTATGTGAACCCCTTGGGATTACGTGAAGTTTTGCATGAATTGGGCATAAAATGTGCTCTGAACATCATCTAAGTCACAACAATAGAAGAACACAGTCTGCTGAACATAATACTACACAAACATTAGATGTTGCCATGGTTTAATTGCACATAACATGTAAACATTCACAGTGCAGGGAGGAAAAAGTATGTGAACCTTTGGACTTAATAACTGGTTGACCCTCCTTTGGCAGCAATAACCTCAACCAAATGTTTCCTGTAGTTGCAGATCAGACCTGCACAACGATCTGGAGTCATTTTGGACCACTCCTCTTCACAAAACTGTTTCAGTGTAGCAATATTCTTGGGATGTCTGGTGTGAATCGCTCTCTTAAGGTCATGCCACAGCATTTCAATCGGGTTGAGGTCAGGACTCTGACTGGGCCACTCCAGAAGGCGTATTCTGTGCTGTTGCAGCCATTGTTTTGTTGAATTACTTGTATGCTTTGGGTCATTGTCCTGTTGCATCACCCATCCTCTGCGGAGCTTCAGTTGGCGGACAGATGGTCGTACGTTTTCCTGCAAAATGTCTTGATAAACTCTGGAATTCATTTTCCCATCAATGACAACAATCCGTCCAGGCCGTGAGGCAGCAAAGCAGCCCCAAACCATGATGCTCCCTCCGCCATGTTTTACAGTGGGGATGAGGTTTTGATGTTGGTGTGCTGTGCCTTTTTTTCTCCACACATAGTGTTGTGTGTTCTTCCCAAACAACTCAATCTTGGTTTCATCTGTCCACAGTATATTTTGCCAGTAGTGCTGTGGAACATCCAGGTGCTCTTTTGCAAACTTCAAACGTGCTGCAATATTCTTTTTGGACAGCAATGGCTTCCTCCGTGGTGTCCTCCCATGTACTCCATTCTTGTTTAATGTTTTCCTTATTGTAGATGTGTCAACAAAAATGTTAGCCTGTGCCAGAGATTTCTGTAGGTCTTTAGCTGACACTCTGGGATTCTTCTTTACCTCATGCAGCATTCTGCGCTGTGCTCTTGCAGTCATTTTTACAGGATGACCATGCCTAGGGGGAGTAGCAACAGTGCTAAACT